CGAGTTCATTCACCACACTCATTCTACTACAAACAATGTTCAAGAAAACGAAAACAAGCACTCAGGCACACTGCTGAAGAGAAGGAAGGGGTCAAAGGTTTTATGAATTTAAAAAGGTTTTATGAATCACACACAAGCACACGCACACGAACACGCACACGCACATGCCCACGCCCACACACTACAAAAATATAACCAAATAAAGCCAAACATAGCCACATATATATTATAACTTTATTATTTTGCATTTTAAATAATAGACATGGCCCTACATAGCGTAATATTCTCAGATATAGCACATAAATAGCTAAATGTAGCCAAAAATAAAGCCAAACATAGCCATAAATTTATTATAATCACATAAAAATGGCAAACTAAGGAAGAACAAACCACTCATGAAGTTTCATCATAAATGTAAAGGCAAACTTCAAAAATTAACACATGGAAATGAAAAAAAAGCATAACATAACACAATACTCAATAAATACAAAACCTTAAACATAAACAATTGAATTTACTAACCAGTCAAAAAAATCAATAGAAGTGGGCTTGAATAGGTCACTTTCGTTTGCCAAAAGCTTTAATTTGCAACCTCTTTAATCCCTAAAACATGTCCAGCAGAATGCCTTTCATTTCCACAAGAAATAGAGAACTACAAATTCGGTTGCGATCCTTAAAAAAATTCTTTTTGAAGGCAAAATAGGGTTGAGGGGTGCAAGATGCCCCCCAAATACAATTCCCCCCTTTTTCAAGGGGGGAAAGGACATTTTTGCCATTTTGATGACGCCTATTTAGACCTCACCAAAAGGGCCTTGGGAGGGTGCCCAGGCGGCGCCTGCCCATGCGGTTCCTTGGGTGACTACTCGGTGGCCCAAGGCCACCATGTCACACTGGGCCGAATAGTCCGAGTGTGGGGCGGTGAGGCCACCCAACCGCCGCAGATATTTTGAAGAAAAGTGCGATTGCATCACGTTATGGAGAGACCTTTGGGTAGGGGATGCTACACTTGACAAGTTATTACTTAGGCTGTTATCAATTGCATTGCAACCAAATGTTCTCATCTCACAATCTAACTAGGAGATCGGCGGACCGCTCGTTTGGTCTCCTCAGGTTTAGGAATCTTTGGGATTCGGAGATCTCTCTGTTATTATCATCATTGCTCCAACCACTAAACAATTTGTAGAGACTGATTAAAATGGTCTGGGTCCCTATTCATAAGGCTGCTTCATAGTCTCCTCTAGGTACAATGTTTCTTACCATTAATTATCCCCCGTCACAAATAGGACCTGGCTCACTCCTATACCTTCCAATATTGAAGCTTTTAACTGGTTGGTCCTCTCAAAGTTAGCACTCACAATAGATCAGACAGGAAAATGGGTGTTCCCCTTCCAAACAATGTGTTGTGTGTAAAGAAAAGGAGGAGACTATTGATCGATTGCTTGTTGTAATACAAACGTGGGGTTTTGTGCTTGGTCTGCTTAAATGGGTGTGGGTGTGGACACAGAAATTGTTCACTACTTATTTTAACCCACCATGTCCAGCGGCAAGGCTCTTCTTGTGTTGTGCCTTAATGCTGATGTCAGTATGGTCACTGTGGATTGAACACAATTCCTGAACTTTAAAGGACAAGGAATTGGGGTTAGGAGCATTGAAAGCCAAGATCAGATCTTTGGTGATATTTTGGGTACGCTAACACAAACATTTTGTGGTCTGGTTGACCCCAGATTTTTGCCAAAACTGCAGTCTTATCCAGCATGTCACGCAGATGGTGATCACTAGGTCAGGTATTTGGCGGGCCCACCCACAGGGGTTGTTCAACTCAATTATGATGGTTTTTCACTAGGCAACCGAGAGAGAGCGGAAGTAGGAGGTGAGTTTAGAAATAGCTTGGTTATCTGTCTTCTTTCTTGTTTAGGCTTCATGGGGGCCACAGATTGCTTCAAGGTATAGATGGTTGCCCTGTTTGAGATCCTGAAACTGTTAGATCACAGAGGATCTCCACTACAAATGGAAGGGGACTCCCTGAACGTGATCCAATTGGCCCCAAGGAGGCCCCATGTCCTTGGTAACAGGAAAAGCTATTCCATCAAATGTCCACCAAATCAGGAAAGGGGCTAGGGTCCAGGTGGTAGCATCCCCACACCTAGTCACCACATTGTGGTTTACATTCCTACCACTAACACCACCCCACCAAAACTTTCAAAAATCTAACTCCTAATCTACTTAAAAAACGGGTAGGGGCCAGTCCTCCCCACTGAATTACCAAAAAAAATGTCCACCCTATCTGGCAACATCCATCTGTCCCACCATCATACTTTGTGAGTAGTTCAGTTGCCGATTCATTAGCAAAGATCTGGGCGAAAAGTAGCAACTTCACCATTTTTAAAGGCCTCTGTACTGATTCAGACTTTTCTTTTTCTATTTGGTCACCGTAAAAGCTCTGTTTTTTTTTTTTGCTTAGAATATACCATTTCTGGGTAGACATTTTGTATACAAAATTTGAACATTCACATAGAAAAACAGTCACTTTCTCAGAATAAAAAAAAGGTCATAGAATGTATAGAAGTTGAGGGATTATAAGAAATTAATAAGGCAGGTACTCGAGAAATTCTAGATCAGGCTTCTAAAGTCGAATCATGGTTAATGGGATCCCCCAACCCAGCCGGCAATTCCACTCTTGAATCTCGTTCCAGCGCTCCGGAAGAGGGATCTTCACGAGATGTCAATTTTAAGTTCTTGAATTATGATCCAAATTATTAGGGATCGAGGTCCCAAAAGATTGGGACCAACTCCAACATTTGAAGACATAATTTTTATAAAAATTAGACAATAATGTCCTCAAATAGTTATATTTCTTAATATTACACTTTATAATGCTAGTTCTCAATGGACATTGTAAAACTAAATAGTGGCATTTCTTGCGTGATCCCGAACAGTTGGCCGAGATCCACAAAATGCTGGATCAAAATCCCAAAAAGATTGGATCAAGAACCCTAGAATATGCATCATAAGGGAAGTGCTCCCTACCACAGGAATCTCATAGCCTTTCCCGATCCCCTGCATCCAATCCCTAAATCTCATTTGATCCTGCTCCCAATTCAACACTGAGTTGGATATCAAGATAATCCCAAACTAGCTGAGATTCTTATTGTAAAACATAATTTCTAAAATAAAATATTTCTGAAGGGGTAGATATATCACAAAAAACCATAATAGTGGTCTTCAAGTCTGCTTTTATAAAAATCTTGGGATGGTTTTTGGTCCCAACTCTCTTAGTCAATAAGGCAGTCAAAATATAAGTGTCTCAAAAGTGACAAATTTCCCAACAATTTGTTATTTATTAGATGGTCTGACTATGGGTATGGCCCTTAATATAGCGGAATGGCAAAAAGGTATTCGTGCAGCCGACCCAAATAGTTGGGATAGGGCTTAGATGATGATGATGACGACAACGACTAGATAATAGATTTGCAAAGGATTATTCTCATTGATTATCATAGAAACCATAATAAGATGTGTACTGAAGATGTAGAATTAGAAATTGGCGAAGTAGGGAGACGAATTGGGAGAAAAGGTGGGGGAGAAGGGGGAGGATTGATGAGGTTGGTAACTATCGAGAGAGGAGATGGAAGAAAGGTGGGCAGGAAGAGGACAATAGGTAGAATGGGTGAGAAGAAACTGGCAACCTAAGAATAAAGCAAACCCATAATACTCACAGAACCAAAAGAGAGACCCATTGGAGAAAGCTCGCCACTAAGACGGACTCCCAACGTGCATGGTGCAAGGAGATAAAAAAAAAAAAAGATAACTACTGGTCATATCAAACATTTCATCCATGACACCCATGATCCTCCAAGGATGGGCTACATCCGACATTTGAGCAATTGATGAAATGACGCTTGGGTTTGTAAATGAAAAAATTAATTTGAAATACACGAGAGCAGCTTAAATTTTCTCAGAAAGAAAATGACACTTCGTTTATAAATGATTAAATGGAAATCTTCCAAATCTAGAACCATATGATCACAGAATGACTATCAGATTTTTTTTTTTTTTTTTGTTGTTCACATGTTGCATCACAAATGCCTACCATGCAACAATGCAGCCTAACCATGATTGACAGATTGCTAGTTGTGGGTGTAAGTGGAATTACAGTTCGACTCTCCCAAACAACAAATCCATTAATTCATTCTTTTTTTTTTCCTTTTTAGGTATTTGCCATCAAACAAATTGACAATATGCTGATAAGGGGAAGATCTTCACAAATCAAACACACTGAATCAAGTAACGAACAAGTTCACTTCCTGAAAACTAACAAAGTAAACAAGTTGGCGATTTTGAAGAAAATAGCTTGGGATTATGAATAAAAATGCCCTAAATATGCAGTTTTTCAAAATAGTATTGGATAAAGGACCACACCAGTGACTAGTTGCAATAGAAATGAGCAACTGGCCATCCACTGGACACCTTGTAACTTCGCAACCATAATGACTGAGAAATATGATCAGGGACATCAATATGAAAGAAGAATCAACTAGCACACTCACATAATGCAACACTCACTAAAATAATTAGCAGCCAAAAATGAAAGTCATAAGTGCAAGTCCTAAAGAATCACCTCAGCATCAACCACGGTGGGTTGCACAACACCAAAAGGCCTTGTAGATAAAAGTTTAAAAATATTCCAACAATCAAGAATAGTCTCCAAAGAATAACCAACCAAAGGTCCTGCATTTCATTTAGAAAACTTGCTTACAGGAAATTAAATTTAGTTTAATTTCATTCACACTTTTAGCATGTTGCTATTTTAACACCCTGATATAACTTTTAGTGGTAACTAGCAAAAAAAGAAGCAAGTATAACTTCTCATATTCAAAAAATAAAATACAACTTCACAAAATACTAAAAAGTTCAGAGAACAGTGGACCACAAAAGAATAGCTTGACTACTACATACAAAACAAACAAAGCAAGTGAAGTAAACAGCCAAGGATATCATACCTTGGATTCCTAGTGAACATCCAGATGAAAGAGTAGTTTGCTCAGAATTTCCAGCGAACTCTGCCAAATGTATTTTCTGGAGATAGCAACCATGTTTCTCAGCAAAAATTTGAATAATATATGATATTAAGAAAATGGGTCAACATGCATATGACACACGAACGCATGCACACAGGTGCAGCACATACAAATAGATATGTTGGATGTTTCATATGATCTCTAGGGTGGTTAGAATATTCTAACCTCAACCTAGACTATAAGGTCAAGATAGTGAAAACCAAAGGAAATACAGTAAGTCCATACAAATTGAGAAAAAGAATTTAAATTAAACATTCAGAACCCTCTGGAAGAAGCGCAGAAAACTATGAAATTTCTGTGTAGGCTTCAAGAAATCAGAATCACAGAAAAAAAAAAAAAAAAAAAAAAAAAAAAAGGGTTTTTCCTCTCTCCTTTTCTTGATATGTTCCCAATTTATTCATTTTAAGGAAAGTATCCCTAGAATTCACCAATTTCTACTAGTCACAACAGCCATGCCATGTTAAGAGATATCGAGCAGGAATGGCCATCTCTATCAAGAAATTTCTAAAGATCAAGATAGCCGAAAAGTAAATAGGACAACCACTATAAAAAAAAATTCAGTGATCATTGGATACACTCAATCATGCAGGATTGGCAGTGAAATAAAACCAAGTGGCCCAGTTCCTAACGAATGTGTTAAAGGCTTGGTTGGCTATATTAAAAGTACAAGGTTAGAAAAGTTCCAGGTAGATTCAGGTATCATATATTGAGTAGAAGTGGATGAAGGCCTAAAGGAGGCAGGACTTAGCCTGAGTCAGCAGAGGAGGATTTGGTGAAATTAAGGTAAAGTTTAGGCTATGATGAAAGGGTTCGATGGAGGTTAAAGTAGCTGAAATTTAACAATACACCAACACACAAGGATGAAAGGATGGCATCTGGAGTTGGTTTTAGAATAGAAGATGGAAGGTATATGGATCGAGTTCGTTAGGAACTGGTTTTCCTAGGGACCTAGGGTTTAAAAGATCTTTGAGATGATGAAGGTAGGATTTTCTTAGGTTTTGGTACGGCGGCAGATAGAATGAGAGAAAAGAGAAAGGATGGAGAAAAAAAAGCCTAGCTTGTATAAGGAGTCGATACCTTATGCAAATTACAAGACTTAGAATTGTATTGGCATCAACAAGAACCCAACCCAGGGACCTTATGCAAAGTACAAAACTTATTTGTATTGGCATCAACAAGAACCCAACCTAGGGCTCATAGAATCAATACCATGAAAAAGAAGTGTCAACAACTCAAGATGGAATCAACACCATTATTCAAAATCAAATTCTATCCTCAACTCAATCTCCTCAATTATCAGCCTTGGGCCTACATTTACAAGGAAAGAAACCTCTTATCTTTATTGTCACAAAAAAAAAACCTCTTATCTTTATTGTCACAAAAAAAAAACCTCTTATCTTGCTTAACTTGGAAGCTAGGCAATCCCTAAAATTTTCCTAAATCTACCACCTACAATATCAAGGAACTACATCCTCTAAAATTTTAGGAGACTAGCCCTCTAACAAGATTAGGAAGCATACATATTATAGAGCAATTCTAACAAAAACTAAATTACTTAGGAAGCATACATATTATAAAGCAATTCTAACAAAAACTAAATTACTTAGGAAGCATACATATTATAGAGCAATTCTAACAAAAACTAAATTACTAAAATAAAATCTAAATCAAACTTTCTTATTTAGTTCTAAAATTCGTAATGAAAATTTTCAGCCGTCTTTCAACCACGATTTGAGGCCCGAAACATTCAAGTTAGAAAAAAAAACCTTGAGACCATAGATCTTAAAGGAACTTTCGATTTGAGATTTCAATTACCCAAAGGGACGTCCTAGTGAAAATTCATGCCTTTCAACAAGCAATCAGCCTCAAGCAGAATCATCCCTCAAACCACAGCAAAGGAGTCTCTTAAAAAACAAAATTACACAAGACAAATGGGTTTCAGTTTATCATTGTCATCCACCACCATCCAGCTCAGAGTCTCATTTACACAAGGGATCACATTCTTTCCCCGCATAGAAGCACCAAACGTCCATCAGGGTTTCAATCAAACTGAGAGAACTACACTATCCACATCCACGCCCATAACTGAGAAATTGGCAAAAATCAAGATGCACCCTATGAAACCGTCACAATGGTAAGCCCTCTGTTACCGTATCAATCCTTGGCATCCCTCTTCATAAGATTTTCCAACATGAAGCACGAGCAACCATCATTATTAACAAGAATCATGCCAATTAATTCAGCATCCCTTTTCAAATATTACCAAAGTAATGTACATAGGATGGGGCCCCAACACCTCCCCCAGGAACAACAAGGATGAACCCAAAAATATTGGATGAAGGATATACTTCCTCTTGGTGCAAGCTATTAACAATTTTCAAAATGGAACTTGCAATGTCAAAATATATATCTAACAGCTGTCATCCGAGGCCTAATCAGTGCGACGAAAGGACAGCTGCATGGAACTTTCTCCAAACACCACTCGTAGATACCCAGAACATACATAATGTCTAAGCAATCAGTTACAATAACAGGGAAGAGTGTGAACTTAATCTGAAATGCAAGTTCATTGCTTTTTCTATTGGAGTACATGATATCAATCAAAAGAAAATATTGTAAGTGAAATTTAACATAATAATTAACTTTCATCCGAAAAAGAGAACATTTTAAGGGTTTGTGTTTTTTGTATCAACAAATATACTCAAAGCATCATGTTACAACTAATCAGGAAGCAAAGCTACATCCCCACAGATAAATACACTTAAACCAACAAACCACTATGGCTGAAATTATTAACAAGCCATAGAGAAGACAATAGGACCCAATAATTACTCATTATAACAGAGGGAAGCTCCATGGGATGCCAGACAAGAATGAGATGAAGAAAAGTAATGAAATTGTAATCAATTTCACCAACTTCATACATATAAATATGAGTATTTTACTGCCATTCAAGTACAAATTACCTTTCCAGTGACCCCTACTTCCTCGAAATTGCATCCTTGGTCAGCACAATTGGGTAAGTTAACAGCTTCTTGAATATTTATACTGTCAACAGATGGGTTCTCACCCATTTCATCAATCAATATCTCCCTGCCCTTCTTCTGTAAAAATATCCCATCAGACATGCATCTCTGGTCAATATCACACTCACAGCAATTTGCTGCTGCATAATTATATCAAACCATGAATAATGGACAAGCACACGATTTGAATCACCAAAATTCGATACCTTAGCCCTTGTTGAAACAGCAGGATCGCCTTCAACATTTGAACTTTGGACAGTACTGCCCATCTTGCATAGCCAATCAAAAACTTTCATCTCCAACACTGGGTATAAGGCACCATTCTCACCCTGAAATACAGCATTTCAAAGGAGAATATAAGAAAATTTCACAAATATAGAATAGCTTCCACAAATATAGAATAGCATCATAACATTTCTGAAGCATTGCCGAAAACAAGAGGGAAAAATACAGTGAGCAAGAACACCTGAAGCAGAGCAGCAAGCGAATCAGATGACACACCCATCTCTGATGCAACATCTTTTAGGCTTATATTTATGTGATTAATCAACTGCACATCTAACACAAGTCTTAGGAGCATGTGTAGACACTTAAGAGAAAACCTTTCCAAATTTATGAGGAACTTGCAACAATTCAAACTTAATAATCAAAAAGAAAAATTGCAATAGCACAGGAAATCTATTCCTCACAGTACCTTCTTAAATGATAAAACAAGATTGTGTGAATCTGAGACATCAATATCCCCCAAGTTATTTCTTGCAAGATCTCTAGATGAATAAGGACAAATGCTTGCCTACAAAAAAACCAAAAATCGATATCTGCTACGAAACAGAATTTCAAATCTCAAATGGTATTGGATTTTTACTCACTTTGTCTGAGCTTGCAGTTGGAATTCCATCCTGGAGTCCACCCTTTCTCTTTACTGCCTTTAGTTTACGCTCTGTTTTCGACTTCTGCAGTCGATTTTCTGGCAAGAACTTAGCCACTGAAGAATTTGATCCAGCATCAAACAAATTGTTTTCTGCTTGCAGGGCCACAAAATCTTGAGAAGAGTGCTTTGAGCAAAAGGCCCACAATTCAACCTACAGTGATTCATGAAAAATTTGCGTAAAATCAAATTAGACACTAAGGATAATCTAAAAACTAGTATCTACAATTGCACAGGAAGTCTTACATTGCCACCTCTAGTCTTTCTCCAAATCTCCATTCTGTATCTTGCTTCTCTTGCACATAGGGGATGAAAAGATGTTTTACACATTCCTGAAATACCAAGCAAAAAAGCAGCAACACGAACAAATTACCATACAGCACATTTTATGACCAAAAGGCCATTAAGAAGCGTGTTTCAAAGAAATAAATGATTTAAGAACATCGAGAAGACTACAAAAAGACCAAATTTACAGACCACGGCATTACAAAGACAATGTATCTGTCATCAATTGAACGACACACATTCCCAACTAGCTATTCCAAGAATCAATGGCCAGCAAATGGACTGATTAGCAAGCAGAATACTTAAAGAGTAGGGAACCATAAAGAAATTATTTAAGCTAGAAAACCCTGACGGTCCGTCACTATGCCACCAACTCCTGCTGGTAGCGGGTTAGAGCTTCCATTAAAGTTAAGCTTCCAAACCCCACTTGGGCACGGGCACCCAGGTCATAAGCCAAAAGAACCCCACATTGTGTGTCTCAATGACCACATCCCATACATGACAGAGGTTGAGAGCACTACAGCATATCAACTGAGTATGGAGGGTTTCCCCGAGGGTTTCCCCATGAGACTTGTTCCATTCTGATCTGCTCCTCCAAGGTAGAAGACTTCAACTGTTATCCTCAAAGATGCATCTTTTCCATCCTTCCAGATTCTCCAATGATTACAAGGGGCAAATCGTCTAATGAATCCTTGTTACAAAATCCTTCTCAAATATCCCAGAAGTATCACCCTGCAAGAAGGGAAGCCACTACTTCTCAAAAAAAAAGAAGGGAAGCCACTATTTGTGGATACCACCCATGAACATCCCCAAACAAACAAAGAACTCCAAATCCTCCTAGCAAAAAGACAATGAAGAAACAAATGGTCAATTGTCTCTTTCACTGCCAGCAAAGAAGACAGATATTGGGAAAATGGAATGCACTTTTTTATCCTTTCTATTAGTAATGAAATTAATAATGCCGCAAGTAGTAACGGGTAAATGCCGCAAGTAGTAACGGGTAACAATGTTTGTCTAAGGGAAGCTAGAGATCCCCAAGCACTAGAGTAACATAAAAAAGTTTTGACCTGCCAAGCAAAATCCTAGATAAAGATCTCACAAACCATCAGTGATCAAGACAAGAGTAACCTATCAACCCTTGGCACAGTCATATACTTATTTTAGATGATATTAGCTGTTAGACAAAGATGTCTGAAAGAGAATCTGTGATGTTTCTATTTCATTTCATTATTTCAAAGAAAGTTAAATATGAGAAAAATATCAAAATCTTGGGGCATGTATATTTGCAAGCACTTCATGATATTCATTGAATCTAAATGTATAATCATGCTCCCATTTGTTTCACAACTGCCGCAAATAAGGCTCTAAATGCATGTGACATCTTTTTAGAAAAAGAAAAAAGTAGTTTTTGAACTTTGTCGCGTTTAATGCTTGTCGAAATCTTCTTCTTTTTTAAGGAAGAGCTCTTTGTATTTAAACAAACTTGGGATGTTCAGATCGCATGCAGCAGTAAATGATCAAATCCGTGGCATGCCTACATGTGATTATGATGTGTACAAAATTGTATCAACATATATCCTTAGGATGAAGGATTGTAATCATAAAATTGGGTCTTGAGGCACTATCTTTTGCAAGAGAGCCAGCAAAAGCACTTGCCTGTAGCCATGAATGTGGGAATGGCACATGTAATGATGGGAAAATCTCAAAAATCTGGTTGAAAGAAGGTTCCAATGTCCCATGGCAGGGGATCTTTTGCCCCAATATATGACATTTTGGAGTCTCTTACGATCAATAATGAGGTACCCCAGCTTCTATCACACAGAACCCAAGCCTTAGCAAAAGTAGAGGTTGCAAGACCAATTGCACTAAGTCGATTTAGTTCCAGCCAAACTTTTCTGAAGATGCCCCCAATTCTTGCCAGTCCTGGGTTATCGAGGGAACTACCACCAAATTTGAGCTTAATAACGCAGGGATCAGATGGATCCAATGGGTAGACCTAGAGATTTCCATTGTTCTCAACCATTAAAAAATTCTTCCGTTGTCGTGCAAAATCCAACAAGGTATAGCCCCAAACTCCTCATGATTTCATGCATAGAGAGTCACAACGAATTCAATATGTTCCATGATTGTGTTTATGTGGATTTCTTGACTCTGAAAAAACTCACTATTGTGCTCCAACCAGATGCCTCAGATGGTTGCCAAAATGAAGGCATGGTCTAGTAAGTGACCCAAAGAGGGATATGAAGGTCAGAAGTAGAAGAAAAGTTGTTAAACTGTTTCAGGCATCAGCCATTCCCAATGGAATAGATTGAAGATGAACATATTTGGGTGGCCGCTTTACAGTGAATGACTAGGTGATTGATGACATTCCCTTTGCACATGGCACACCAATTGGGTTACAGGGATTCCCCTCCTCTGAATCCAACCAAGAGTGAGAGCCTTTTTGGAGATTACTGGCAAGGTGAAGGTCTGGAATTTAGGAGAAGCCGGTCACGGTCGTTCAGATTGAGGTTTTTTCTTTCTTTTTTTTTTTTTTTTTTCTTTTTTTTCTTTTTGTTTTTTCTTTTTTTTTTTTTTTTTTAAGGGAGATAAGTTGGATTGAGGGTGTTTTTTGGATTGAGAGTGTTTTTTGGATTGACCGTGGTTTAGTGTTGTAGAAGAAGGATACCAAGAACACACCTGAGGAAGCAGAGCACCACACCATTTTATCCATTTCCGCATGCAAATCAAACAATGAATTGAGCAGTCCCAGCAACGCTACCAAGTTCGAAGTCTCAGAATCTTCGCAGGTTTCTCCTGATGTGTGGGGTGCGAATCGTTTGAGCCCTCATCATTTCATAAGAGCGAGAGATGGTCACATTCCGAACTGTGCCATGTGAAACAAGTTCAGCAAAGCATTTTACAGGAATCCTTCACCTAACCAAATATTCTTTGAGAACCCGATCCAATCCCCCATTTCCGCAGTGAATCAAATCCTACAAGAGGAAGCAAGGGAGGCTTCTGCTATCCCTTACCAAGCATCTAAGGCTCCGGTCTACTGATTCTTTAGGTGCCAGTCTGAGTCATCAGAACCACATATGACCCCATGCTGTCACAGATGGCCTTCTTAGGGGGCAAGGTCGCCACCACCACTTGCCTCGGAGTGTTGTGTTGCAATCTTTGATGCTAGTGACATCCCCAGCTCTTTTGGTTCACAAATGATGTCCCACCTAACCAGGTGGAATCTGGGTGCTCCTATAGCATCACACTAGAGGGAATCCCTCATAAGACATTCGAGCTTATTTGTAATGTATCTCTGGCATAGATAGTGACATCCCAAAACCAGAATGCTTGAAAGGGTGGATTTGATCAGGGTGAGAATCTACATTTGCATGCATTCAATCTTTCAAGCATCAGGATTAAATTGTCCCATTGGAATTCTCTAGTTCCACCTGCACAAAAAGGGATGCCCAGATATTTATTGGGTAATGCATCCATGCCACAACTCATCCTTTTGACTAGCACTTGGTATCTATTAATGGTGAGTGATACACACCCTTATGAGTTTCGTTTTGGCCATGTCGATTTTCAAATCCATGGTGACCTCAACCATAGGTAAAATCAGAGGTTGTCGACTTGCCTTTTTCACAGAAGATGAGCATGTCATCTGCGTATCGGAGGTGGGCAATCGGAGGTCCTTTTGAGAAGTGGAAAAGTCATGAAGCCGAATTTGGTTGTACAAGAATTGGTGATAGACGTTTTAAAGAATTTTTCTATTATAGCAACATGGGGGATAAAGGGTCTCATTCGCAGTGACACCTCAAAGAAGTAAAGAATCCTTGAGGACTTCCATTTATGAGAAATGGAGGTGGGGGAAAGAGACGCACCACATAACCAAGGATCTCCATTTCTAGCCGAAGCCCATTAAAGTCAACCATGGTCTAGAATCTATCATTCAACATGATCATATGACTTCCCCATGCCGAGCATTAGAATTAGGCCAGGGTTTTCCGAACGGTGCCTCACATGGATGCACTCCCTGGCTACCAAAGCTCCATTCGAGATTTGGAGGTCTAGAATGAAAGCTCATTGGGGTGGTGAATGACATGGTTCAGGATCTCCTGCAGTCAACGAGCAAATAAGACCTTGTATGAGTTGTTCACTAGGCTTATTGGCCTAAAATCTTTCAGCTCTTCTGCATTTTCTTTGGCGCCAGAGCTATGAAAATTTCATCTGCCAGTGGATGATATAACTACGAAAAAACCCAAAAAACATTGCAAGGACATCTAATGCTAGGCAATACCAGAAAGTGGAATTGAGATAGAAAATCCATCTGGGCTAGACGCTTTGTCATGAACTAGTTCAAGAACAAATCTTCAGGTAGGCTCTAACCACTCGACGCTCTACAGTGTTAAGGTTTGGAAATTCGGATTTGGATCTTCACCCTAGCCTGATCATGGTTAGTATATAGGTTCTTGAAGTAATCTGATGATTTGGTTGACTTCTTGTGACTCGTCGTAAGTGTGTGGCTCTTCTTGATGTGAAGAACAGTGTTATTCCTTCAGCAGTTTGTTGTCTTTATGGAAGAAAGGCTGTATTACAGTCACCCTCTTTAAGCCACTTATTCCTTGAGGGCTGATGCTAGAAAATCTCCTCCTATTATTCTCCACACTCTTTCCCTTCGCTGTAGATCCCTAGCTTCTTTGATCAATTGTGAATTGGTTTGATTTTGCTGAGTAGCCAAACTTGACCTGGGCAATACACCCATGCGGCCCCTAAGATTGAAACCTTCTTAAACGATATATACGCAGACATGAGGTTCATTTATTGGTGACAAACGATATATGCCAAGAGACAAAGAGTATGGGATAGGTTGAGGAGATACTTTCCCTGATTCATAAAGTCAGGGAAAGTGTCTCCTCTGACTAACTGAAGTTCGAGACTTCGACTAGTGACTCCCAAATGTGTATCGAGCTAACATCAGCTGGACGTATTTCTTCATGGCACTTTTTCTAAGGAGATCTATATGGAGTCACAACCTGAAGATTTCAATTATCTGACCTTGGTA